TCCCTTCTCTTTAAGCTATATGCGTTATAAAAGTGACCGTCAATCCCTTGATGTGGATGGTAGATGGTAGGGTGCAACTTACTGGTTGCCTTCTCTCTGGTTAGTTGGTCAAAAGTAGGGACAGCAGCAACAGATGTCCTTAGTAGTTTTATTATGAAATATAACATTGAAAAGTATAATTAATTTTGTATAATAACAAAGATATAACATACCTCTACCAGAAATTGTTTGTTTGTTTGTTTTTAATTATGCACAAAGCTACATAAGAGCTAGCCAGGTTTCTAGCGTTGTAAGTCCGCAGACATACCACCAGTAATTACGATCAAAATAATACGTAACACACATAAATAAACTCAATACAAATATTTTATGAAGTGCACACATTTTTATAATGAAAATTTTCAGTTATTGAAACGGTTTGTTGTTTTTTATTTTTATTTTTGTGAATATTACTGTTTGAAAATTTATGAAAAATGTAATGTAACTCACGAGAAAATATTTTTTTAAATATCAAAATATGGTAATTCACGAGTTGGAAACTAAGAAACCTAACATTATAAATCATAACTATAAAATAATGTAGTCTCTAAGTGATCTAAATTATTTTTACGAACACATTTTACAAAAATATTGATACAATTTTCCCCCGTTCGATGAATGGTGTTATTTCATAAGAATAAGAATAGCCTGTATTAAAAATTCATATTGAGGGAAAACAAAGTTTTAACATATAGAAATTTGTCAGATTCTTTACATCTTTATTGCTTAAAGTATTTAAAATGAAACACATAAGCTGATGAATAATTTAAAACTCAAAACAGGTCCTCCAAGATATTTTTTTATAAAGCGTAACGAAAACAAACATTTTAATACAAATATACAATTGCTTGCAAGAGTTACAATGAATTAACTCAGCACAATAACGTCAATATCAAATAAAAATAAACATCTTGAATATTACCATATTTTATATTATCAAGTAAATATTCAGAACTTCCTTTAACAGTCAGGAACTTCAAACACAAAAGATGCTTAGATAAAACTAAGGTACTAGGTTAGTATTAAATGTGTTCTTTAAGGTTTACTCTTTTCGTACTTGATACGCAAATTAATCATCTCAAAATATAAATACAATTGCTCAAATAAATATACATATGTTTATTAGTTAAAATGATGAAGTAAACATATGAAGATGATTAAATGCAGTCAACCACGTTGTTTGCCAATGTGCTAGTATTCTTTAATTGAATGTAATGAAACTCGAAAGCAATAGTTTTATTAAATCAAAAGAGAATCTTCCATTCTTATTCACTCTTGAATTCCTTCTAAGATCTGATTTTTCTTCTTTATTCTTCACCTCATCACGATACTCCTTTCCACCAATGTTCTTATCTATCTTCATCTCTTGTTCATTTTTCTTTTAGAGCTCCCACCTTTCTCTGTGGAATTCTGACTGACCAGAACACAGAAATATTGTCTATTAGGAAGAATGTAGATTGAATGACGATTCAACTTAGATTCTAGTTTCAGATGTATGTCTCTCAACTTCAAGCTTAGGCTTCTGGTGGATCCCAATCACAACCAGGGTCTTCAGTTTAAACACTTCTCATTCATTTTTCACTCATAGCATTTTTCTGACTGATAATGGCCATAATTATGGACATCCACCAATATTTCATGAAGCCATTTAACCCACTCTTGCTATTAGACATCGTCCATTACTTAGGGTTGTAATTCACATGTCACTTTGTTTAGAAGTTCTGGTAAATATCATTAGATCTAGTAAGAAGCCAGTAAACAGTTGCTCAGAAGGCATCATTAAATAATTTAGATGACAATTCCAACAAATATTTTCTGGCTTTTTTTTGTTGTTGTTTTTTGGCAAATTTAACCATCTGATTGGTTCTCTACACTAATATAGGTGATTATGGAAAAATAGATGATGTCTTTGTCTTAACAATTTCCAAAAATTACTACAACTCTATGAACAGTTTTCTTAATTAGCTCCATAATCTGTATGGATATGTTACGCACCTTAAAGTACTTATTAAGTATCAGTAAGTAGATCAGCTGTGCTCTGATCATTGGTGTATCTCGGAGTATGTGTCTATGTCCATTTTGTAGGATGGAGTGAACAATTTTGCCAATACTCTATTAATAAAATTATTATTCATACACTATGGCGTCATGATGTATTCTCTGCAAGTTGTCCCCGATTCCAAATTCCTCCTCACTGATATTTCTTCTTTCTGGTCCAAAGGATTCTGTCAGCATTCTATGTTAATCTTATTGTTATACTGGCGATTGTATGTTCCTTTTCCTTCCCACATATTCTTGTTTCATGAGGATTTTTTAAGGTATAAAGTCTTATTGGTTTTGATGCAATGATTTGCATCACTGGTGATAGAAGGAAATTATAATTATTTTACAACACAACTTACTGTAGGTGAACGTTAAATACTAACCTAAGAAACTGTGAATACCTCAAGTATTTTCCAAAAATGCAGTCCCTCTGTAGCCCAGTTTTAAGTTTGAGGGCGTATAACATTAAATTCGATCTTTGCAGTTGCCACAACACTTATAACCTATGATTCGGTTTTGTGTTTTACAACGAACAAAACAGAGCTGCATTGTATACTAATCACAACGTTTTTCTTCTTACAGCTATTGTAGCCAATTATCAAGTGATGTTTTCCTCATCTCTACATTTGATATGGCGAGGTAATATGCTGTTCTTTTACCTACTTTTCTTAAGTGCAAATTAAAAGTCTGAGTCATAATAGCAGCAGTTAACGCTTTTCACTTAATGATTGTTTGTTTGTTTTAAAGTTCGTGCAAAGCTATCTGCGCTAGCCATCCCTAATTTAGCAGTGTAAGACTAGAGGGAAGGCAGCTTAGTCATCACCACCCACCTCCAACTCTTGGACTACTCTCACATTATAACGCCCCCACGGCTGAAAGAGCGAGCATGTTTGGCGTGATGGGGATTCGAACCCGCGACTCTCAGATTGCGAGTCGAGCGCTCTAACCACCTGTGTTGTTCATCTGTTTAATATTCGATTGTAAACAACAGGCTTAAAATTCAGTTAATGGACAATGACGATATATTTGTTAGTAGTAGGCACCTTACTGACGCACTTAAGACATTTTGTGAAAGGACAATAATTCAGGTTGGAGTCTCACCATGCATATATCAGTACTTGCTGGATATTAAAAATAGGATTTCTGGATGGAAAAATGTTTTGAAGAAAATATAGAGCCTTTCTCAGCTTATTTTTGAACATATGGAATACATATTGACACCTCTAAGCTCAGATAAACCTAGTGTTCTATTTCTCCAACATTGATTGCCAAGTAATCGTGGTAGAGAAATCATCCTAGAACAATTAATATCGAGACACAGAGCCTAAAAGGAGTAAGGGTTCCTTTGTCATCCTTTATCATTCCGAGTCTTGAACCTTTTTGTATTTTTTATTGAATTGGATAAATTTCATATTTAATGAGGATGTGCCTAGACAAATAAAGCATGTGGGATTTATTCTTCAACTTTTCAGTCTCATATTTCTTCATCATTCTTGAAAAGTGTTCTCCTCCTTCTGACATTCTCTTTCTGAGGTTAAATACTTTGAGTTTCAGGCCAACGTTCTCATAGTTCTGATAATCACTAATAGCTGTTAAGCTTACTTCCCAACGTTTTCTGTACCATCTCTGAAAAATAATGGTCTGGGAACTGATTACAAATTGATCTGGGTGTTCATATCTTCTACTCGTCCAGGTAGTATAGACTCAATTCAATAGGCTCATGTCCCTGCCAATGAACTGGATTTGTCTCTTTGTAGTGTTAGCTATCCATACCATCTATTTTCCTTTAAAAACTAAGTCCTGATAAAGTTCCACATTCCATTCTTCAGCTTCATATCTTAAACTTCATAAACAAATATGCTGTACCTGTGATACTAACAAGGTTGGGGCTTTGAAAACGTCTCTGTAAACACGTAATGTTACAGACCACCTATTGTTATCTTTGGAAGCATTTGAGAATTTTTATATTCCTTCTGATCCTCTCGCTTCCACTGAACATTCCAGTTCAGCGATTGGCGTACTATCCTTCTGGCAACTTTGAACAAGATGAATTTAACTTCTCAAGACGCTACACACAGTACTCACTCATTTTCATTCTCCCTGTTATTAAATTCACTAACCACACACCAAATCTTGGTCAAAGCCGCAAAAACTATTTTTAATCTCGTTAATTGTTTTCAAGGCTTAGGGCCTTGCAATTGAGTAAGTTCATGTTTTTTTAAAAAAAATTGGATATACCTGAATATTTTATAAAACAATATCAAAGGAAGCTTATTTGCAATTAAAATTCGATCAAGTGTACACCCAACAGTAATAAAACTTGTGATCACATTGACTGATCTAGCCTAAATGTAAAGTTCAGGAAATTTTAATTAAATCTCTAATTAAATTATGAACTTAAGGTTATGGGCAGTGTATTTCATTAAGGTATAGGTTTTATAATCTATTGCCACATGCAATTCTAAACTAACTCTAGACTAGTGTGGCCTCCGTTTCTGTAACTAAGTGGTTATCTCTAATGTAGCGTGTCTTTGCACTTTGGGAATTTTATCTAAAAGTTTTCTTGGGTTACTTCATTTTCGCCCTTGAATAACTCTTAACTAATCGTCACGCTATTCTCCTTGTAACTTTGATTAATATTACATAACTATAAAATTTGTTTATTTGCTTTTAGAGCAAAGCCATATTGGGCTATCTGCTGTGTCCATCACATGCAATCGAACTCCGAATTTTAGTGTTATAAAACTTACCGCTGTCCCACCGGAGGACCATAAATATAAAAAGCCAGAACTTTGTCCTAAACATGATCAGAAATTTCCCAATTGGCCACATCATTCGTTTCTAAACACATATGAGATTATCATATCAACCTGTTCAAAGTAACAAAGATCGGGTACAGATTAACTGTTTTCACGTGTAACGTTTATGAGCAGCCCTGTATAAATATATGGAAACACTTTACTCGCCATAGTAAACCTTAGACCGTCTATCAGTATAAACTGTGTCACCTACGAAATTAAACTCTGAACTTTACATCAACAAATGTAAGTACAGATTGATAAGCGTGTTTTCTTGTGAAATCGCCTTAAATGGTAAGTAAACACCCAACAAATAGAAATAAATTAAGAAAAACGCCCTACCATATCAATTGTGATGAAGAGTAACATTTGAATATCATTAAAGTGATTTTGTTTAATAACATAGCTAAGCATGAACTAAACTTGAGAATAATTCAGAAAGTTTCACTCCTGAATCACTTACTTTACAATAAAACAAAAACAGGTGAATCCGTTTTATTGAATGATTGAAAATTTTAAATGAGCCTTTGTAAATACAATATGCTAAAAAATCTCATGCAATATTGATAAAAGCTTCTTTTCTTAAGCTGGTACAAATGTCGTTTGAAAAGCTGTACACATTTTAGTAATTCGAAAGGTTTGTTTGTTTGTTTTTGAAGTTAAGCACAAAGCTACACAATGGGCTATCTGTGCTCTGCCCACCACGGGTATCGAAACCCGGATTCTAGCGTTGTAAGTCCGCAGACATACCGCTGTGCTACTGGGGGGCAATTGGAAAGGTAAGAAGAAGATAAGTTACATAAAACACTTTTGAAGATATGTAATATTTATAGGTTGTATTTGATAGATCGTTACATTAAAGAGACTACAAACATCATTTTCAAGAATAAAATATTTATTTATTCTCACTGTGATTTTAGGTAGTCACTCTTAAAAGGAAAGATTTTTCAAATATATATAAACATCATTATTTTCACTTCTAAATGTTTTGGCGTTTCCTTCTTTTTTTCAGTACTCAAATCAGATGTTGTGATACATCCGCTAGAGTGAAGACCGGAATGATAAAAGTAAGCTCTTCCTTTTCTAACTTAAACTAGTTATATCTCTCAGTGAACTCCGTCGTCATTTCTTACACATTTACATAAGTTGGATCAAAGATATAGAGCAAATAAAACGGTATATTTGTTATCTGTCGATATCGTAAACTTGCAGTTCTTGCTCACACATTAATAAACAAAACAATACTTCGAGACTTCTTACATTTCGTAACTTTCTACGCTACCTAGCTATGTTTAATACATGTATTTATATTTTGGATATAATCTCACTGTATGGCTGTGATCAATTATGTATACACACTCTTCAGTTCAAATATGAAACAGAATATAAACAATAGTGTTCGCGTTTGAGATGTCTTTAAGAAATACATCTATTTTACTCTAGATCCTATGTGAATTGAATTGATTTGGATGTACCAGCATTGTTAAAATACTCAGCAAAGTTTTGCAACTAATTATCGCATTGTCGTCATATCAAGAACGTATCATCCACGCATCGTCACCAAACACTAGGTTTTAACTTAGCATTTTCAAATGCAGTACATTCAAACTTGTCCACATACAATTCACAAAGGAGTAGAAAGAGAGACGAATACATAGCCAATCCCTTCTTTTAGTGCTAGTATTTATCACTAATTTTAAAAAGAAGTTTTCCACACACGACCAGGTTAAAACTGATGATATCTGTTTCTTCTATAGGTGATACCGATGTTTCAATTAACCTTTCTTGAAAACAATTAATAATTTCTTCTACTTGTACTTAAGAAAAGAAATAGAATAACTTAAATAATACTAATATACCAGGAGATATAAATTCTATGTTCTTGATTTTGTCAGCAAATGTAACTGAATATATTAGTAAATTTATTATCACTTTGTAAGTACGAAAACACCTTAGTAATTCACTTAGCAACACATTGAGCAGAATTCCCTGCACTAGAAACAATGGGTTTAAAACTGTTATTTAACTTAGGAATTTTAGGTGAGGCATAAAAACGTGGCGGACTTAAATTAGTCGGGTTTTTTTCATCCAGTTGGTAAAGTTAGACATTGTTCAACTTGTTATATTATCAATTTATGAAATGTTGTGTCTGTTTAGTCTTTACTGAGGAGAATGTATGTCGGTGACATAATTACATCTTGGCATTTATAATTTATCAAATTACAAATTTCACTAACCTCAATTTGTTTTATATTAGTTTCAATACTAGTAATTATCTTTTTTATCTGTTTGGGGTTACTAAAAATTTAATCCAAAACCTAACACTTGTAAGACTTGCACTGGACTTATAGATAATGTTAGTAATACTTTTGAGAATCGAAGCTGAAACTGCATCATTCTGTCCCCCGGTGGAACAGCAATAAGTCTATAGATTTGCAACGCTAAGATATGGGGTTCGATTCTCCGCGATGGACACAGCAGATAGCCCAATGTGGCTTTGCTCTAAACCAACCAAATCAATATGCATCATTCTTCGTCTTCGTATATAAGAGTTATAATTAAGGTTTGATGGTGAATGAAAAACCGTTGTTTTTATCCTTCTTTGAGCTAATTATACCGAATATACAAAGTTTAATCATGAACTGAATATAAACGATGCATATGTTATTCTGACAAAGAATGGTGAATTCAGCATACGTAACAGCACAAAATGTTTCATAAAATTATATATATTATTTTATGTTTCTGTTTAGTTTAGTTACTTAAAATATTCGTAGGTTGTACTTTTTGTTGTGCATTTAAATGTTTCTGACAACTGTGACACAATTGGACTTACATAGAACCATTTCTTGTAATAATATATATATTCTTGGTGAAATAAACCACTGGATATTTGCCAAACATCCTCATACGTGTGTACTTTCTCAAAGTTAGAATTAGTATGAGAAATTACAAGAATTTTGTCATTTGCTAGAACATTGCACGCTCTACTTATTGTGCGACTTGTGTAACTAACGTTCTACTAAATATCGTTCTAAAAAGGCAACATTTATGATTGATTATAATAATGTCGTATTCTTGGTATTTAAGAAAAGGATTGTTTAAAATACGTTTCTTCTCTCACCATATTCCTAGTGTGGTTGTGCAAATATTTTGTAAAGTTAAAGAAAACGTAATATATATATATATCAGTTATGAGTCTCACTTTTTTTATACGTATTTAATATCAAATAGACGAAATAATCACTTCCAAAAATATTACTGGTTTTAGTTGGTTGGTTGGTTGAAATCAAGCACAAAGCTACACAATGGGCTATCTGTGCCCCTCACGGGTATCGAAACGCGTTTCTAGCGTTGTAAGTCCGCAGACATTTCGATATGCCACAACTGGTTTTAGAAAAATACATGGTATTAATTGCATTCAATTGGTGAATACCTGGTATTTTAAGGAATCTATTTCTAGTTTTCGTAAGCATTTATTTTATCTGCAAATATTAAAATGTTCTATTGTATTATCGTTCAATAACGAGTTTCCAGATAGCATGGTTTAAGAAAAGTACAAAAAAAAAGAAATATCTAGTCATAAATTTTTAAATGTGAAGGAAAAACTCGACTAACAAAATGCACATTATATTTGTAAGAATAAACACGTTATCAAATTAATTTTCGTTTGTTGTTTAAAAAGTAATCGGGGCAATACAACCTACTTAGAATTTTAAATATTCAATGTAACAAATATCTGAAAATTTTCTGATCCTTTTAAAATGTAATTAGTTGTTTTTTTGAAATCGTAATTAGGTTTACGTATGTTTGTTGAATATGTTATTCCAAATATACTTGTTGATTATATAATGTTTTAGCTTTTAAATTTACTAGCACTATTATTTTTATTTAATATACAACAATCTGACAAAAAGCTAAAATATTTCTTGGAAGTGTCGACGCCTTATGAAAAACTGTGGTTATATAAAACTAATTAACAATCATGAGAATTTTTAAAAGTTACCTATGGAAGAGTTGTCCAAAGTTTGTTCATCCAAAACGGAAAAATGACCACGCCTACTGCCACAAAACAAATCAAACTTGGTTCTCCATAGCTTTTCCTTTCATTTCCAGACTAAGCTAAGAAATCTAAAAAACTTGGAAGACAAATCGAAAAACAGACAATGTTCCACATGAGTGAAAATCTACGCGACTATTTGACCAACGTTATACAACTTTATGACAAGCTAAAGGCAAAGTATTGTGGATAAAACCCTGTTTGTTTGTAAAAAAAAATCTTATATGAGTGTAGCTGGATGGTATTCAGACCAACGCCTGAAAGAACACCAATTTTCTGTCCATCTTATTGCCTTAAACTCAGCCATGGTAAAACATGTAACTATTGATGTAGAAGAACTGTAACTTTACTGGTTAACCTAACTGGAAAATAAGGAAATAAATGAAGCTTTCAACACAGAAAACGTAGAGTAACGATGGATCATGAGACTGGAACAAAAAATATTGTTTGTTTGTTTCTAGATTTGTAGCCTTAAGGATCACTGAAAAGTAGTAATTAGTTCAGTCAAAAGACGTACAACATAAAAATGTGTATTGGAATGGATAGAATACTTTTTATCATTTGTAGGCGTTCAAACAATGTCTGGATTTATTACACTTACTTATTGATATGTATCAGGACATGGGAAAAAAAGAGTCATAAAATAATAAAAATCTTTCAGAGTAGGAAGATATTTTTGTATTACCCACTTTTGTTTTTATTAGTAATGTAAAAACATATATATAATAAAACATTGGAATACCAAGCTATTCTAATTTTTCTGTCCTTTATTAATTTCTATAATCGGGTTCGTGACTTCAAAGGTCACTTCTTCAATATATAATTCTACCGAGAATCTATAACGAAGGCGTATAAATACCCTTTTTCAATTAAACATAAATAGTCTAAATTAAATACGTATATTTTCCAAATGTACAAACATATAATACACTCCATGTATAAATTAACTACATTAAAAATGCTAAAAAATAAATAAATAAAATTAGTCAATATATTTCCTTTTTAAATTAAAATTTTATTCTAATTATACTTTCTCTCATTACTATAGAAATGAAATTTAGTTATTCTATAATTTCATACTCTTACTTACTTTTAGTTTTTTTCAGTAAGTCTTAGTAACACTTTTCATGGTTTCATAATGTATACTGACTTTACACAACCAGATACTTTTGCTCTCATACTGCTATCTACTTAAAGTGGCGCCATAGTTTTTCTATAAAATATAAAGTAATATTTTATGTTTTACATTACATTCCCCAAACTGAAAATATGGCTCTTTGTAGAATTTTAGATTTTTTTTCAAAGTACATTCATTAAAATGTTTTCTGGCATATAGTGGGCTTTTTTTCGGGACACCTAACATGAAATGTATGTAAATTTACCCTTAATCTTAAATTATATGTTTCACGAATATATAATTCCCTACAATTTGCACATATTTTTCTCGCCTCTTTTGTGAAGGGTTCAATTTAACTATATCGTTCCCAATAACGTATCTCTCCATATACGTATATCATTACATTGTTCTCCTTTACTTTGGTAGACTTTTTAACATCTGTAGAAAGTTCCCAGTTGCTGTTATTTAAAAATATTATATGCTGTTAGAGAGATCACAGGGTCAGTATGTTATTAGTTAAATAATCTAAATTAGTGGATGCTGGATTAAAACTCGCAAGAGGATGTTAACATTAGTACTTTGTTAGAAAGGCCTGACATGGCCAGGTGGTTAGGGCGCTCGACTCGCAATCTGAGGTTCGCGGGTTCGAATCCCCGTCACACCAAACATGCTCGCCCTTTCAGCCGTGGGGGCGTTATAATGTGACGGTCAATCCCACTATTCGTTTGTAAAAGAGTAGCCAAGAGTTGGCGGGTGGGTGGTGATAGCTAGCTGCTTTCATTAGCCCAAGAGTT